GTGATTTTATAAGCAAATGCAAAGTGGTTGCATTGCAAATGGTGTGCTATGGGCAAACATACAGCTTGGATAGAGAGAGTGGGTGCGTGGGCCCCACAAGGAGCTCTGAGGCAAGTGAAAATGTTTAGCATATATATTTATATAAATACATGGTATTTGGATTGATTTATGACCACTCTTGTATGATTTGTGCATTTTGGGGGTTTAGGGTCCATTTTAGGAAATGGCACTCGGGTGGTCAAATTTTGATATATGGGGTTTTTCCATCATTTGAATGTTCTAACAGGTATTTTTAGTCTTATTTGATGTGTCCAAAGTGTTCCCATAGGTTTGTGACCATTAGGATGAGATTTGGACAATTTTGAAAATGGTTTTTACCAAAAAGCTGTACTTTTGCATCCGGGTGTTCAAATCTTAATCCGACCGTTGGATTTCTCTAAAATTTGGGTCACAAGTAAAACCTTTTATAAGCTTCGTGTGGGCTTTGGAATGACGTCGATCGGATATCAGACGAAGAAACGACGCACTCCAGAATTTGGTCTCGAGGTGCTGTCATGACAGCATTAAATTGCTATCATGACAGCTACAGTGTTGATTTTGTAACCTCCACAAAATTAATCCGTCCGTTGGATCTTTTCAAAATTTAGTATGCTAATAGTATTCTTTAAAAGTGACATGTAAGCTTTGGAATCACTCCGATCGGAGGTCAGAGCAAAAATAATCAAATTTTTAACATGTCTAATTTTAAATCCGACCATTGGATCTTTTTAAAATTTGGTATACTTATAGTACCCTTTGAATGTGACGTGTGAGCTTTAAAATTACTTCGATCGGAGGTCAAATGATGAAACGGTGCTTTCTGGAAGTTGGCCCAGGAGGAGGGCTGTCATGACAGCAAATTTAATGCTGTCATGACAGCATTAGACAGCATCTTTTTATTTCACTTTCGTCTAGCTTGCTTCCGCGTGCTATAGGTAAAACCTATAAATTTTTTTTTTAAAAGGCTTTAAATATTTACTTTGCAATTGTGTATTTGCTTAGTGATTTAAATGGTTTGTTTTCCAAGTTGGTTTTAGGATTAATTCCTTAACCACACTTAGTTTATTTGAATTGTGTGATTTTTGGATAACACTTGGGGTAAGTGTTACACTACGCATATAAAAGAAACCATCTGAGTCTTAGACTTTCTCGAGAGTGATTAGATTAATTATGAAAAAAATTTAACTAAGCATAAATAAACTATAACGTTATTCATATTGGTCCTTAATAAGATTTCTAGTTTAAATGCCCAAAATAGACGCATCAAGCTTATCCGATCATGACAAAGCACCTTATATGAAAAGAGAAAGAGAAAGAAACAAAGCATGTGATATCTTATTCACCAAGTGTGAATAGAAAATGTTGGGTTATTCACCCTTGGTGCATCAGGCCCGAACATGACCTGGTTATAAAATGGGGCCCTAATGCCTTATTATAATATTGTAATACTCTGGGTCTCGATGAATAATATGTTATGGATCTCATGGTGTGATTTTCTCTTTCTTATTTGAACAAGAGAAGGAACGGTGAATTTAGCCAATAAGCATAACCTACCGAGTGTGGGTAGCTTATATGAGAGGCTAGTGGGTGAAAACAATACTTTCATTCTCTCTAGAACATAATTCTCTCCCTTTGCTCTCTTGTCTTTCTCTATTCTCGTTTGCTATGTGAACCCGAACTAAGTTTGAGTGCATAACTCTATTCCCCGCATGTCATGACCCAAAATCTGAGTCGTGACCTGCACATAAGCTAAGCTAATTTATTCTCACCTAGCCTAGCAAGCCTTAACTAGCTATACCTCTCGCACAAAAGTGTCCAATAATATAATTTTTATCCAAGTTTAAACCATTCCTACTAGATTGGAGTGTCAAAAAAATGTTAAATCCAATTGAAAAAAAATCCTTCATATGAAAGCCTAACAATTTATCTAACATTACACCTTGACTTAAAATACTACCATCATAGTCACAACATCATAGAATCCCATAACTATCCAATTGTTTGCAGTTTACACCATCCAATTAGGAATGATATCTCATCATAAAAAGCTTTAATAGGAGCCTCATCTAGAAAAAATATTAAAAGAGGGGTGAGTCTACCACTGACTCAGTAAGTGCATAAATAACAAAGTGCACGGAAGGGAAGCAAAGCCGCACCAAATTTTTTTCGCAAATGATTTTTTATTGAATAACAAAATAAAATAATGTCACTGCGTTCAACTATTCATATTTCAAATTTTGAGAAGGATGAGAAAATTTTCAAATCTTCATCAATTAACCAAATCGAGAATCATGTAATGGTAATCAAATGTACAATCAAAGCATTCCTTCAATTAACACATCAATCTTGGTGGAGGATAACTATCCCACCTACTATATAATATATTATATATTACCCATTAATTCATGGGGAGGAATAACCGTCTCACCCAATACAATATCATATATTACTCTTTATAAATCCATAAGGATAAATAACCATCCCACCTATCTATAGGTGAGGAATAACCATATATATAGTATATTACATGCCACATAAATATATGGTGAGGAATAACTGTCCCACCTAAAAATTGATATATAAATATAAGATAAAATGATGATTGAGAAATTAAAAGAATGCAAAATTAATTAAAATAAAAAAATAGGAAAAATTGAAATAAAAATATTGTTCTACTACGAAAAATAAACAAATTTATTGTATCAAAAATAAATTAATTTAATTTTTTTACACCAAGTAAAAATTAAAATTAATTACAAGCACAAGGAAAAAGGAAGAATATAATAATATTTAGAAGTAGTAGTACCAACATAAATAGTCACTATCATCCTTTCAATCACACACTCACCACATCAATTTTAGATAAAGAAATACGTATCATAAATTGTCCAAATAAAAAAAAATAAACTAGAATGATAATTAAACTAAATTTTGACTCAAAAGCATATATGATCTAAGAATCACAATAAAGAGAATAAACAAGTTTTGGATTTGCTTCCAATAGACAAGAAAAAGATTAAAATTTGATGAGACTAGAAAGGACAAACACATGTGAAAACAAAAACTACTACCTTATTATTTATACACTCACCTGTTGGGATCAATAATAGAGATTTCTTGTTATCCTTCTATGACTCAGTACCAACTAAGAAGACTAACTTGCGTCACCTTATGGAAGAGATCATGATTATATTTAAAACTTGAAAATGTAGTTCACAATAAAATATCGAAGTCAACCATCCTTCAAAATCTCTTGGGAGGTAAAAGAACAACACTAGGAATGAGGGAATGATGCTATGGGGTGTGAATGTACTTTTACATGATACAATTGAGCGAAAGACGCTAGAGAGCCAGAGATGGGTGGCAGAGAAAAAAGAACAGAAGGAAAAAAATGAATAAAAAAAATAGAAGGGGACGTGGGTTTGGCGGCTTTTGAGAGTATAAGGAAAGAAGAAATATTTGGTTTAGGTCTATATATAAATATAAAGCTTATAAAATTTAAACTTAAAGTTCAACATTATTATTTTGAATATTTATATAACATCTATATCTAAAGACATATTAGGCTAGATTTTTTGTGTTATTTAAAATTTGATAAGATTTGTTGGGTTTTGCTATTATTTTAAATACTTAATTTATCTTCTATTGAAATATATATTTTGGTTAAACTAACTGTTAGTTATTATTTACTACTTAATCTTCTATATATATATATATATATATTAATTTTTTTCTTTTTTTCTATTAATTTCTTTTGGGTATGTTACATTGCATATGTTACGTTTGATGCAACTCTTCAGGAACATTTTCCTCCTCTAAAACTTACAGGTTGCTTTAGCACAATATACCTAGTTAGAATTTGTATGAATGCAAAAAAAAAGTCCTTCGAATTGCCACCACTAAGAAGGCTCAACAATATTTGAATTTAATTCAGTCAAATAGTTATTTCAAAATAATATGCTGGAAAAAAATCGTAATGAAAGTAAATTTGTATAACAAAAACATGTTTAGAAATGATTTCGTCCAATAAAAAATATAGAACAATTCTTATTGTAATTAGTCAAATGTGGTGGGATCCACATTCAAGCTGATCTTGACCGGAAGCCATTTTTATTTTGAATAACGAGTTGAAAATGAGTAGAATGATTATCATATTAAAATAAACATGTTTTCTCAAGTATTATAGATATAAGTTGTACTGTTTATAAACTTGTAAATATTTTTCCATTGTAAATTAAATTTTACCATATTTACTATAAGATAAATACAACTATTGATTGTTAGCATGTTTTATATTAGTTTTTGTATTGCCTCTAATTCTTTAAGTTTAATCTCTTTTATCATGTTTAATTTAATTTTATCATTATTCACAAAGTTAAATTTGCTGATATATACATAAGTATTAATTCGGTTGTTGAGTTATAGTAAAATTATACTCTATTTTGTCTTGAAAGAATTACAATCAAATTTTAATTGTCAATGCAGTTTAATTCAATTGTCAATGAAATTATTAATGATTAATTTTCTTGCAGAACTTCAATATAATTTTCCTTTTGTCTCTATGACAAGGCATCTTCAATCACTTTTAAATAAAGAGAGATAGTCAAGATATTAATTTTATTTAAAAATAAAATAAACTTTCACTTTTATACTTATTGAAATGATTTTTTTAATTTGTATTAATTCATTCTTCATAGATAATAAATTTAAATAAAAATAATATTGGAGAATGTAATCAATACTTTAATGTGTGAAAAATGCTTTTACAAAGTGTCATATAAAAAGTAATAAGTTGGAGGAATGTTAGGTTCGGGATAGAATTAGAAAAAAGTGGAAATTTTTATTTTACATCATTAACAGTTTAACAAATTAAATGTTAAAAATGTATTTACATTACGAGTACCGTCTTTGAATTTTGGACTGTTTAAAATTAAACTCCTGAAGAGTTCGGACACGCGAGAAACGGAGCAATGAATCTCTGAATTCTATTCATTTTATAATCATTGATTCAAACAATTTGAGAAAGAAGCTCATGAGGATGAACCTAAATTTTGCATATTTATTTCTATTTATCATTAACTTGTTTTATTTCCCTTGACTCATACGTGCGACTGATTCGTGCTTCTCCCTCGTTCATCACCTATTACCTGTGTTTTCATGGTTGTGGGGGAGGAACATTTTTTCCGTTTTGGTGGATAAGAGATGGTTGTGATTCAAGCTTCATTTCTGGACATTGGCTTCTCTTCTTCTGCTTCGCATCCTCGTTTAATCTACCCTATAAATCGCCATTTTTATCATAAATCCTTGCCTCATGTCCAACATTCCACACTTCAATATAGAGGCAAGTCAATGCCTTTTCTTCCGCTTATGTTCGTTTTTGGAAGACTTACTGCTTGGTTTCGGAGAAAATATTGACTTGGGAAGAAACTAGATCCTGTTGTTTGATAATAGAACATTTTATGTTCCTTTTGAATTGGCTTAGTTTTTCAGGTTCCGGATTTCATCAGGGAAGAAAGTCAATGCCTTTTCTTCATTCTAGTGTACTTTTGATATCAGCCCGCTCTTGGTTTCTGAGAAAATGCTGTCTTGAGAAGAAATTTGATTATGTGCTTTGATAAATGAACGCTTTAGTTTCGGGGTCGTTGTCTGTGTTGCGTTTTTTTAAGTTGTGTTTGTTTCTTCAGACTGTAGACTCCACTGTAGAGGCAGGCTAACGCCTTTTCTTCCTTCTATGTAAGTTTGTGATAGGGCCACTGCTTGGCTCCTTAAACAAAAAAATTGAGCTGACAAGAAACTGGATTCTATGGTTTAATTGTTGAACACTTCATTTGGGTCACTATCTTTCTTTGTTGTATGTTAAATTGGTTTGTTTATTCAGATTCCAGGGCTTTTGTAGAAGCAAGTTAATGCACTTTCTTCATTTTGTGTATGTTTGCAATAGACTGTTGGCTTCTGAGAAAATACTGACTTTGAAGAAAGTAGAATTTGTAGCTTGATAATTGAACGCTTAATTGTCTTGGTTACTCTCTTAATTGCAATTTTGTTAAATTGATTTGTTTATCTTCTATTACTACTTGGTCTATGTCATTCTTGTCAATGCTACATTTATCCTTCTTGTGATGGTGTTTCAAATTGTGTTTTCAGGTTGTAAAATTGATTCACTGAAAAATGCTAGAATTGCAAAATCAAGGGTTACTGTATGCTCTGTTGAAGCTGGGCAAGTAGGTGTTTGAACACGGTTCTTTCTCTTGTCATACTTAAAGAGGAGGAGGCTGCATGCTGTTAACTCCTGTATTGCAAATATTAATAATCATTCATTCATTCTGATATTCTTACACAGGAGTCTCATACTGTGAGAGAGAGAAGTGTCTCAGTTGTCCTACTTGCTGGAGGGAAGGGCAAGAGGATGGGGGTGAGTTTTCTATGTTTCATTGATCATTGATTTGAGAGAGTATCTGCAATTGCAAGAATTTCTTTTTTTATTTTTTTTTCCCCAATCATTATCAACATCACCATAATTTCTGTTGACACTATACTATTTAGTTGGATCCTTTGATATCACCTCATTGAAATTTCCATTTAAGAGAAGTTATTTTTTCATTTCCATGAAAATTTCAAGTTCATTCAACAACAATAAGTTTCAAGATTCAATTTTTTTGACATACCATCTGCTCATCACTTGTTGCAACTTAGACCTAGATGCATGGGTTGCTTTAACTTTGAATTCACTTCTATTGATAAGATTTTGTCATGGGCGTTATTTTTGGAGACAACTAACGGGATGATGCAAATTCATTATGAGTTTCTGACTCTTTGTTTTCATGAATATTTCAATTTCTCACTGCCCAGATGACAGTTTACCATGTTTGTGCTAATAGGCTAGCATGCCAAAGCAGTATCTTCCACTTCTAGGTCAACCAATTGCATTGTATAGGTAATGGCAAATTGGCAACTCCCAACTCAGCTATAAATAATTCAAGTCTCACTATGTGTTTGTGCAATTGTGTGATGGGGTGCACTGTTGTAATGAAACAGAAAATAGCTTGGCAAGAATATGGTATTTTTTGCTTTCTTTGGATCCTGACAAAGTGCGCAAGGAATTTATAATAATAGTTAAGCCAAAGTGGTTAGAACTGCCTTCAGAAAAGAATTATAAACAGTAATCGTAAGCTACTAATATCAAATGAAAAGAAACTCTAAATATAAGCATTGAGATCATAAGGAAAAGACAATGAGAGTGTAAAATGATTAGTGTTGAAAATACTGTGTCTGTTCAATTCTTGGTGCTAAAATCCTGACTCAGAGAAATCTAATGCAGTGTTATCCACTGATTTGTTGACTTTATCTGGCTTGTATCATCTGCTTGTGTCCTTACCATGTTTCATTTCTTGGAATATAATTATATGCCAATCTCTTGCAGTTTCAACACTTTCTCTCACATGGTTGAAGTAAAAGAAATCGTTGTTGTTTGTGATCCTTCATACAGAGACGTTTTTGAAGGTTTTTCTTTCTTTCAATAATTTATAAACCCTCCCTCTCTCCACCGCTTCATCCCCCTCCTTTTTGTAGGCATGTTCTTTGGTTTCCTTTGTAAATCATTTCATTTGCCTCTTGGTCACTGTATATCTATTTTACTCAGATGCCAAAGGAGACAACCTAGCTGAACTTAAATTTGCTCTGCCTGGGAAGGAAAGACAGGATTCAGTTTACAATGGATTCCAGGAATGTCTAGTTATTTACTTATTTAGCTGAACTTAAATCAATTTGATAACCAAGTTATGAACAACATGCCATTTATTTGTGTAAGGGAGATTTTGTCGGCTGATTAAGGCATCAATTCAAGTCTCATGAAATGTATTTTTTAATAATTACAAACCAACTTTCATTCTTTAGTTTGCAAAGTTTTGATTTGGTAATTTGAATCAAATTGCTGGGTGAATTAAACTGTGGTATGGTATAAATAAACTCTAATTGATTTATGTCTGATGGCAATATTGTTAGGACGACATTCTATTTGTCATGTCCTCAAATTTTAACTAAGCTTTAAGTTTTCATGCCTGAATTCATAATTTTAGGCTTTTCAAATTTGTGAGATTCATGTAAAATAGGAATTTGCAATTATCAACTTCTGGGTTTGAATTTGATTTTTAATTGAGTAAAAAAAAAAAAAATTGAAAGCTACAGGTGGTATTTTACTTAAATTCATAGATTTTTTTTTACTAATGTATAAATTTCAATCTATAAGTCATATGAAAAATTATTAAATGCTCTTTCATTATGCAGGCTATTGATCCAAATTCTGAGCTGGTCTGCATTCATGATTCTGCAAGACCTCTGGTATTGGCAAGAGATGTGAAAAAGGTGGGGTTAAATACGTTTTCCTTGGACAAAATTGCTTAGTAAGTCAGTTGCTTTAGAATAGAGATTGGAATGTTGTTATGGTTTTCCTTGTGAGAGTGAGATATTGAAGATCTGTCTTGCTGATATGACTATTTCCTGGAAATGTCAACTATGTATTAATGATCTCTTTAGTTCTAGTAAATGTGGTATGTCCAGGCCCTGTGCATGCTGTAGGAGATAAGAGGCATATGAATTTGCTCTAGTAAGACTGGAGTTCACGGATTGTACTGGTTTATGAAGCTCTCTTTTTTGAAATTATACTTGAGGAACAAAAACTGGTTGTATAATTTAACTGTAATATGTGAGGAAAGAGAAAGTTAAGTGAAATAATTTGAGTTAGAGCTTTCCTATGGTATTTTACTCTCTATCTTAAATGAGTCAAGATACTATTCCTACCAAGTACTTCTATATGGGGTAACCTATTGAAGATGTTGGGTATCTGAATCTGCTTTTAACTAGGTGTACATTCTTTTAGCCGGGGATGAAAAATTACAGGTTCCATATTATGAATTGAAATCATATTTGGATCTGCATGTTTACATTGATACGTGTCTATACTCTTAACTTTTTTAGAGTTTAAATTCTTCCTCTGGTTGGTTTTTGTCAGGGTGTGTTTATGTTCTTTCCAGGCATGGTTTCACTATACTTGTTCACCTGTTTCTATCCACTGCTGGCATTAGAGGATTATTAAAATAGTCAACTTGTCTCATTTTTATAGGTCCTTATAGATGGATTGTCAATCGGTGCTGCTGTTCTTGGTGTTCCAGTGAAGGCCACTATCAAAGAGGTAGAATACCATCTCTAGTATGCCTGCTTTCCCCTGCAATATGTTGGGTGATTAATGAATATAATATGTTCCTGTCTGAAGCACCCCTAGAAAAAGTACTTATCGACAAATTTGATGCACAGCTTATTTATGCCATCTATGTGTTGCTTTCATGTTGATGATATGGTGCACAATTTCTAGCTCTGCCGATGCTCAGCTTGACTAAAATTAAATTAGAAGCATACACTTCAGGTCTAGAAGCCATTGATGTTAAATAGTTTCTTCTTCTTCTCAGCAATTTATTTATACGATTTACCTCTAAAATCTAGAATTTTCTTCATCGTGTCTTGTCCACACTTGGTTCCTTTGCATGGATATGTGAATTAGTGTGCTATTTCGGCTGCCTTCAAGCAGAAAGCTTTAGGTGTCTCCGTCAGCTTATCCTGGTTTTCCATTGTATATTTATCTATCTTCTTAGTTGCATTTTGCCTGATCTGCTTTACAGATGCATGACTATGGACTAGTTTTTGCCCTTTTCTAATTAATTAATTAATTTGGCATGGTAAATTTGTCCTGGCTTCTTCTTTGTTGTATATCTTTAATTATTAAACAATTGTGGGAATGAGAAGCTCTTATCTTCTTTTCCCCCAGGGTCCATTGGTACACAAAATGAAAAACCGATTTGGGGGAAAAAAAAAGAGGATGAAAAATGACCCTTGGATCTCTATCATAAAAAAGTAATAAAAAGGAATGGAAATTGTTGAGTATTAATTACTCCCTCAATCTCATTTTATAAGACAATTTTAGAGGTGATTTGGTGTCCCAAAATATAAAACCTTTTAAAAAAAAAATAAGGTTTTATTAATGATAATTATCCCAATATTACCCCTCTTTATTTCACTCCTTATATATATATATATATATTTCTTTCCTTCTCTCTTTTATCAATGAAGGGTATTTTTAAAAGTTTATAAAAAATTATAAATTGTTAACTGTATTTAATCAACTTCATTGGTATATGTATTCCCCCCCCCCCCCTAAAAAAAGCCTTATAAATTGAGAAGGAGGGAGTATAAGGGTAAAAAATATGCATTAAAAAAAGGGGAATGAAATCAGTTTTCTATGCACACCAGAGCCTTGGATGCTTTTACAAGCTTCCTTTTAAATTTGAATGCAAGTCATGTTGTGACACCTTCGTTGTTTTCTATTTTGCTTAGATGTGTTAATTCATTATATCGGTCCATTAACACAACAAATAAATTAATCACATTATCATTTTATCATTAATTGCTGGTAGAGTTGAATCAGCTAACCTTACTAAATGAATGTTAATAATGGTTAATTGCTGTTGAATGATATTTCTAAACAGTTAATTGTTAATGGAGCTCAATGTTATATGCAAATATAGCTAACCTCCTCACTTAGTGAGATAAAGTTTCTTCTTGTCATCATCGTCATATCAATTTATTGTTAAACACAATTTCTTCCATTTCTTGACCTTAGGTTAGGTCCTTAACACCAGTCAATTTACTTTGAATTTTTTTGCCCTGGAATGGTGAAATTTGCGCATCGATCTATCTGCAGGCAAACAGTGAATCCTTTGTAGTTAAAACACTTGACAGGAAAACACTATGGGAGATGCAGACTCCACAGGTTACTGCTGGAAAACATAATTATATCAGGAGAATTACATCCCAAGTCCTCCACAATATAATTAAATATTACAAAATCTATTGACGATTGAACATAGCAAAATGAAAATTAATATGCTTAGTTGTTAAGGGACTTTGTAATATTTATTTGTATTGTGAGGGATCTAAATGTAATTCTCCCAATTATATTTTTCTCATTTATATCTGAGAACCAGACAATTGCATATCTAATTTTTGGTTACAGGTCATCAAGCCTGAGTTGCTGAGAAAGGGTTTTGAGCTTGTAAATAGGTAATTTCTTATTACTATTGTGCATGACTTCACTGTTAATAGCTGTTCAGTTTAATCAATTGTTATTGTGGTAGGTTGGCATTAACCAACGAGTTGTTCATAAAACATTATTGCACAAGCTCAGTTGATGTAGACTCTACTCACAAGTTGAGAAGCATTTATGCAAATACATGTACTGAATATGACATGTGAGATGCATCAATCTTTAAAATTTTACACACACACACACACCCCCTACCAAATATATAAAATTGTTTATAACAAGTTACTAAAAAAAGTATAAAAAAATAAATTAAGAAAACACCAATTATATGAATGTTAAGAGTACAGCAGAAGCATGGAATTGAAAATCTGATATAACTGCTCCTTCTTTTTCTGAGCATCAGCGCTTCATAGCTCACAGATCCACCTCATTAAAAATTGTATTGCCAAATATAATTTGATCATTATGAGAAAACCCCGATAATGGGTGTACCCCTTCCTGTCCTTATTATAAGGCATTTGGTGGGTTATTAGTTATATTTTTTCAATATTATCCTTATTTAAATTCAGAATATAATGTAAATTTGAGAATTTTCATTTAGACATGTTGAGATTGAGAAGTTTATTTTTTTTTTAGATAAAGTTAATGACTTAACTATCTTTCTTTAATTCTGGTGAGGTAGTTAGAGGTGCAGACTGGAGGGAGTATCTAAATTATTTCAGCACCTAACTAGCTTTTTTATGCACAATCTTTGTTTCAGTGGAGGTCTAGAAGTTACCGATGACGTTTCAATAGTCGAGCACATTAAGCATCCTGTTTACATCACAGAAGGATCTTACACCAACATTAAGGTAATAAGAACTCTGAATGAATCTCTTATAATGAACTTTCTGTTTTTCTTGATTAATTTTCAGAGGCTAGACTGCTCAAAAAAGAACTTTGATTCCAATATGAAGAAGTTCATGCTGGGAACTCTTGTGCAGGTTACTACTCCTGATGACATGTTATTGGCAGAGAGAATATTAAATTTGAATTCTGAGGAGTCTTCATAAACATTTTCTAGTTTTACCATTCTTGTCATTTCACCTCTTGAAAGAAAGAAACGAAAAAGATGTCTGTTTCATTTATGAATTTTTCAGAATAAATTAGCTTTTGGTCCTGCAATTTTTTGCGTCAAGCAGAAGTTGTAAACAATAAACGATGAGAGTATGAAGTTTCTTATTGGATTTGCATTTTGACTACTACAACGTGGGAACATAGTTGGTGCTTATTAGTTCATAGACTGTCCAAATTGATGATAAACTGATTTATTAAAAATTTTATAATTTTTTATTTTGATAAATATAAAAAATTAAAAGCTTTAAATTTTAACCATCCAAATTCAATTTGGTCAGTCTATAGCTTATTAAGGGTGACTTGATGAGCACCAAATGTGGGCCCCTCCAAAGTCCCTTACAATTAGATTTTTTATTTTTTGGTGTAAACAATGTAATGTTCATATATATATATATAGTTGGAGCATAGAAGAATATTTGAGCCTTGTCCAATATATGAGATGGAATAGGAACAAGGGGGATAAAAAGAAGTGATTTGGTGTGAGAAATGCTGTTAAGCCCTAGAATTAAAAAAAAAAAAGTTATAAAAAGGGATCATTTTTCTTGAGCTATGATAATAAGACTCTCTTGTACTCATTTTATGATATTTTCTTTTGTAATCTAATACTCTATAATATAAGGTGCTTGGAAAAATAATAATTGATTAATAAAACTCATTTCAAAATTTCTGCTTATTATTTTACTCTTTAAACATTTTCTCTCTCTCTCTCTCTCATCAAATGAATGGTATTTTTAGAACTTTATATTTCTTTTCAGGAAAATTAAAATTTTGAATTATATTTGATTGATTTTATTGGTGTATATAATTTTATAAAAAAAAATCTTATAAAATGGGACAATGATGTAATATACATTATGTATGGGCAATGAATTCATTTGCCTTTTTCATCTAATGTACCATCAAAGAACTCACAGAGGTTTAAGTCTAGTGAAAGGAGTTGGTTCATTATAACATAGCAAATCAATATTTGAATTTTCACTAAAAGATGTGATTAGATTTAATGTTTGATAGTATTTTGAGTAGAAGATTACTTGTGGGTAATCGAAAATATATATATATATATAGATATACCATCAAAAAGATCCTAAGTAGAAAGATAAAGGGAGAACTTCATTGAGGACCTGGGTAGCAACATATCTTTTGGTGGCTCCTAAAGGAATGCAAAATTTCAATTCAATCTCCTAGGACTAAACTGAAAATAAGTGGAATGAGGAAAAGATAAAACTGCCCTTTGATGCAAATACTAAAGAACAGGCTACTGATGAAAAATGAAAGAAATGCCCATAAAATAAAAAACCTCTAATGCAGTTTTGTATTTCTCAATCTTCACCTTAAGGAGTAGTGGTTGCTAACATTCATCACCATAAACCCATGAGATTCATTCCCCACCTCATGTTTGATTTTGTGTTCTTTACGTAATGTGATTCTTCCTTCTCCATGTAATATGATTAGAAATGAAATGGGACCGGTATCAACCAGGGACGGTTTTAGAGGACAGCTTGGCAGCAATCAATCGTATGGAGGTGACATTGTCTTTTATAGTAATCAAAGGCACCTTCTGTTAAATGCATATGGTATGGGTATGGGTTTAGTGAGGGGAATGAGCATAGGATGAATTAATCGTTTGGCATGAAAGAGTTGGTGTTTTTAATTGATGAAAAGTGTCAACATTAAAATTTGGAAATACAAAGCTGTTGGGTATTAAAATTTCTGTCAATGTATGATGAGTTGTTGAAAGCTTTATGTTATATTGTTAATTTTACAATTTTTACTGTAAAGTTATGAGTTCGTCTAGTACTGATAAAGTAATTGAAGTCAACATTTTAATGACATATAGGTTAAGATTACTTATGGCTTCGAGTTCTGTAAAGCAATTATTTTGCATCTTCCATACAAGGGGTGAATTTATTAAGAATTTAGAGAGAAATACAAGATATGAGGGTGGGATTATAAGTGGAAGATTAATAAGACAAGGGATGACTTATGAAGAACTAACAAGTATGATCTTAACAAACATGTGGCCTAAAAATAGTGGCATTATCATAAAGTACACTGTGAGTTATGGTACAAACATACTATTAGATCTCATAGATGACAAAAAAGTAGTATAGTTAATTGAGTTGAACAATAAAAGTGGTTATGTCTATGTTGGCAATGGTGCAAAAGACTCTAGACAACCATCACATTTGATTGCCAACAAGTGTAAGTTTACTTATATTTACCCTTGATTGTAAGCCTAATACAAGTTGATAAATGTCTAATATGACTTGTAAATTTTAAGTTAGATCATATGATATCACCTTCAGATAGAAGCTCACTTTTTCCACTAATATGGGAATTTGATATAAAAAGCTTTAATGTACCGTCTCCTATTTAAAGTGTGAGTCTACTGTCAACTGCACAAAATTTAGCCATAGAAAGTCTCCCTACTCCTTTACCTAAGATGAAAGCTTCAGAGTGAAAGGATGTGTTAATGGGTGTTGGGTAAAATTTTCTCATGCTATGGCATTTAGACAAGCTTTATACAAATACAGTGTAGCACATAAGTTTCTATATGAGTTTGTGAAGAATCATGATAAGAAGGTTATTGCATGTTGTGTGGTTGAAGGTTGTCCTTGAAAAATTAGAGTATATAAAATTAATAAAAGTTCATTCCTTGTTGTTAGAAAGTTTGAGAAAGAATACATGCACACTGTGCAAGACAACTTAATGGTACACCATAAGAAGAGATGCAAACTAACATCTTGCATCATAATTGATGACTTGAGGTCTAGCATGGATAAGTCTGCAAATGACATAAGGTGAGATCTAGAAAGAGAGTATGGTGTTAGCCTTACATACCAACAAGCCTACAAGGCTAAAGAGAGAGCAATGGTAGACATCTATGGTCTTCCAGTGGAATCTTACATGCTAATCCCATGGCTATGTGAAAGGTTGCAAGAATTGATCCCAATACTGTCCTAAAATGGGTTGCATCACTAACGAATAGATTTGTGGGTTGCATTACTAATAAACAGGTTTGAGCGACTATTTATAACTTATGAATGTTATGTAAAAGGGATCTTAGAAATTGCTCAACTTATAATCTATATAGATGGCTACCATTTGAGTGGTCCCTACAAAAGGACTTATTAGGAACATAAGCATATAATGTGAGTTATTTCCTCTAACTTATGCCATTATTAGTAGGGAAACTTTTAATGATTGTATATGGTTCTTGTCTAAGATCAAAGAGATTACAAGATATCTTCATTTAATGATTGTGTTCGATAGACATAACGTAATTATAGCTGTTGTCTAAGCTATTTTTAGGGGTGAAAGACATGCCTTTTGTTATCAACATGTAGAAGAGAATTATAGTTTTGAGTTCTTGAAAATCACCTAAGAAAAGAGAAAGACCAGCAGTGAAACTAAGGAGACTGTGCTAGAATTGCTAGATATAATAGTCTATGCAAGACTAGATACAGACTTTAATGAGGCTATGAGAAATCTGATGTCATTTTGTCCACAGTTGGGACAATCGTTGAAAAGTCATGGGGATATTGATCGCTGGGCACTTAGTAGGTTTTCTCATAAGAGATGGGATAACATTACCACTAACTTTGTAGAATCATTTAATGTATGGTTGGTAAATGAAAGGAAGCATTGTAACATTCTTGATTTTAAATCAGATTAAATAAGCCCAATCAGATTAATTAAGTGTATTAGTGAGGTGTATGACTAAAGAGGCTTAATGGGCATGTTTGATCTCAATTTCAGCCCCAAATGCAGGTCCAAAGGAGAATCAGGTTACTTGAGAATGAAAAGAAGAAGAAATTCTAAAAAGGAAGGCTCTATGCCACACACCGTGACTTATGGATTAGGCATTGTGACGTAGGCATGCTTAAATGCCTGAGAAGCCCTTTTTGCGCTATATACCACGGCACATTATGTGTCCACTATAATGCATGGATATTTTTCTACAGAAATAAACATGTTTGCGGCTCATAAAAATAAAGAGAAAGAGAGATTTTTGAGAGAGAGTCCAAAAGCTGTGTTAGAACTTGAAAAAACTGACTAGTAGGAGTCATTTGGAGCTCATAAATATCAAAGGTAAGCTTCCTACACTTAAATCTTTCTCTCCTATTCTATTTTCTTGATGGTAGAAGGTTTGGTTGATAATGGTGATTTCGATCCATAAAGGCTATGAGTTTGAACTCATTTACTTGAATAGAGTTAATAAGAATAGATTGAACTAAGTAAACTAAGTAAACTTATTATTTATGAATATATGATGATTTGTGGTTGAAGGACATTAAATGTCTAAAAATCCTCATAAATATGTTGGTTGGGAATAATGTGGTCTTATTAATGATCATCAAAGAGCTCAATGATGTTAATGACGGTTAAAAAAAGCTAAGAAACTTTATGGGTAATTTTATATGAGCTAAGAATGAATCTTGACCATTAAGAAATGTTAAAGTATTAGTGAAAATTAGCCCAAATATGGATATTAATTATTTACATTATAAATGCTTGTAGAGTGACTATCATTGGCACCATTCAAGCTTTTTAGAAGCTTTGGGAGTAAGTATTTAAGGGGTGAAACCTTTAACCTCTTAAAGGTTTAAGGTAACCAGGGGAATTATATCCCATACTTTTGTGTTAATCAATTTGTTGAATAATATTTAATAATTGAATTGTGTGAAATTGGTTAAAATGCAAATATGGCTTGTTTTGTTTAAAGAGCCCACTATTGAAGTGGTGATTTAATACAGTCTAATGATTTTGAAATTTTGCAGTTTAACGATTTTTAAGGAGTGAGGTATAACAATTATGAAAACATGAAGTATAATGATTTGTGTAATTAGGAATTCAATGATTTAAGTTGCTAGTAGTTCAATAATTTTGAAAGTTATGGAGTTCAATGATTATAAATGTGTGAGGTACAATGATTTTGAAATTTGAAGTCCAATGACTTGTTTGATTTAGAGTTCAATGAAAATGTGTTTAAGGAATTCAATGATTTGTAAAATGGTGAAGTTCAATGAAATTGGTTATGTGAAGTTCTATGAATTATGTTAAATGTAAATTATTGCATGAATATACATTGCATGATCATGAGAGGTGGAAGTTT